ATGGAGCTCCTCACAAACTCTGATTTACTTAATCAGAGAGATCCTTAAGTCAATTCTTTGTTGCTAGAAATACATTCTAATTTTGCATGTACCTGCTTCCAAGGACAGATTTATGGATGCATCTCTCAGTATCTGTCCAAGTACAAAAAGTACGTGACAGATGTTGTTGTACTTTGTTACTTTGGTGCTAAACTCTTCCTCTCCTGTTGTAAGTAAACGTTTACATGTAATGGTACATACATACATTATTAACGTGACTAACAGTTAGCTATAAAGCTAGGTTACAGGTCAGGGACTATAACCTTGCAAGGTCGAGATCCTTGAGTCCATGTTTAAACCTGCGGTAACCATCTATATTTCTTAAATTATTTGGAATAGTGTTCCAATGTCGGGCAGCCTGGTATCTCCATGACTTGATCCCATACTTTGTTGAATTTACTTTAGGTAACTTTAAAATAGCATCACCACGTAAATTATAATTGGAATTACATGCCGTCAATAGAAGCAAGGACCAGGAAAGGAAAGGTAAAACTTAAAAGGCAATTTCTAGAACAAGAACATGAAACGCAGAAACTGCAATTAATGAACAAAATTTGATTTGCCAAGGCAGAAGAAAACGCCTGTGCTTGGTGCATCGCCAGATGCCAAAGTTGTTGACTTTGGATGTTCACTTGGAGGGCAGGGTGGCCGAGTGGTCAGCACGTCGGACTCGCAATCCGGCGGTCCCGGGTTCGAGTCCCGCTCTGGCCACTTGCTGGATTTGTGCTCGGTCGTCCCGAAGAAGCCAAACAAGGAACCTAAAGAATATCAGATGACTGTACATCGGTTCGGAGCTACAACCTCACCAGGCTGCTGAAATTTTCCATTGAAAAGTTACTGCTAACGACAATGGTAAGCAAATTGGTTCTGCAGCAGCTAATTTTATTCCTGGTGACTTCTATGTGGACGATGGCTCAAGTCCGTACCATCAGTAGATGAAGCTGTGAAGCTTATCAAGGAGACGTGCAGAAGAGAAGATTTCAATTTACACAAGTTCATCTAAGGGTAAAGAAATCATCAACAGCATACCGACTGAAGATAGAGCCGAAGACATCAAAAATCTTGACCTCTGCCAGGAGAGCGCGAGCACGGAGTAAAGTGGTGCATCGAAAATTACTCTTTCAATTCTCAGATAATGCTCAAGGATAAACCATGCACAAAGAGAGGAATTCTATCCACAATTACCTCTATCTTTGGCACATTGGGATTTGTTGCCCCCATTCTTTTAGAAGGCAACAAAATTCTACAAGAATTGTGTAAAGAAAATACTTGCTGGGATGAACCAGTTTCAGATGCTATTAAGGCAAAATGGGACAAATGGAGATCGGATCTTCACTACACACAAAAAAAAGTGACAGTGATAAAGCTTTAGATTATCTTAACTGGTAAATAGACGAGAGAACCATGTTTCGTTAAAAGACGCATTAAAGGACACTGCCCACAATTCTTAAAAGCTATTTTGCATTTCTAGACAAGTGCACAGGTTGCACTTTCCAAGGGTTCAAATTGACATTGCTAAACACTTTATTACAACGGTTGTAAAACTTTTAATAGGTTACACTTTAAATGTTTTTTCCTTTTTAAGATTTTATTTATGTTCACTGTAACTGTTTATAGTCTGTATTTTAAGACAAAGTTTTCTTAGCGTTTACTTGTATTAGTCTATCTTATTATTGTATAGTTTTGATGAGTTTTATGATTTTAATTTTTATCAGGGCGCTAATTGATAGCAGTGCTGAAGGCCTCAGAATGGGCTACCCTGATACAAATAAATTAAGTCTCTCTCTAACACACCTTCCAGAACTGCGTCACACCTAGCAGCTAGTCACGTATCAAAATCCAAGGGGACTATAGAGAGTTTATTAAAGCATTTTTTTGGGCTTCTGCAAGAATTTTACACAGCAGTGATTCAAAATGGCAGTAAAAAAAAATACAGCTTTTTTTCACTGGAAAAGCATTAATTACAGCGTGACCGATTTACCGTGACTGACAGGAACCACTTTTTTGGAGGTATGGATTATTTCTTCATAAAATTTAGCAAATACACAAAGACCATGTTAATGAAGAGATCTGTGTTCGACCAAAGGTTAGAGTTGCCCTACAGCTGAGTTATTGATATCAAAATGTGGATCAAATTGGACCTAGAGGGTGGATTAATTGGAGCTGTGTCATGGTCCAACACTCATGGTCCAACACAGAATTATTCTATCCTACGTTACTATTTCTGTTACAATTCTTTACAATAACTCTAAGGCTTCTTCTGAAATTTCGATTTTTCTCTTTCCGTGCCACCCTAGGGGTTAATTAAATTAACACCTTTTGGGTGACATAGCATAATTTATTTTGGTACTCTTTAGTACCTCGAGAACAAAATTTCCCAGTGCAGACACCTTAAAAGACAGGTTAGTTAACTGCAGGTTAATGGCAACTAATTCGAGGTTGGCATCCCATAATACACTAAACATTCACTTGTCAGTACTGGCGAAAAGCAATAAAGGGCTTCCGCAAAGGGGTACCACAAGGCCAGAAAGCATAAGTTTAGTGCCTCTGAAGTTGCAATTTTGACCGAGAAGGCAGAGGAAAATTTGGCAATTCTTTAAAGCAAATGGACAGTTTATTGATTTGTGGGCTCTTAAAAATGTTTCCGACTCCCAAAAAATTTTCTTAGACAGCAGCCTTGCTTAAACATAATAAGATTTTTTTATAAGATTAGTTATATTTCATTTTTCTAGTTATCAGATGTTTAGCCAAAAGTAATCTTAAAATAACGAGAGATATGACTTTCTCTCTCCAGTAATTCAATACAGGGAGTCCTGATATAAAAGGGAGAAGGTGAAACAATAGCCTCTGTAAGCAACAGCAGGAAGTCAGGTAATAATAGTAAGAAGCAACCTACTGAATACTCTACCAAGACTGTTACTTGTCCAGAAGGCTTTAAATGGTCAATTGTAAGGCATACAAGCACTATTAAATTAAACTATGCCTAAAAGAACTGCTGCACCAGACAAATTAATGAGACGTTATCAGAAGACCAGTGTAACAAAAACAAAAAAAGAACGAATGCATACCTTCAGCAACAGGTCTAAGAGTGGAAGCAAAACCACTGACTTGCTGGGTAAGTCTAAACAAGGAAACATCTCTAAAGAGTGGAGAGGATCCAACTGAAAGCAATATGTCTTTTATGTCCTCAGCGTCTTCACACTATCAGATGAAACAGGTTAATGTTCATGACTATCATACATTTTTCCTGTTACTTCATAAGGTTTAGTTTATCTAACCCTCTCTAAGTAAACTCCTTTGCATTGTACTGACAATTTAAGAGTCAATATCTGGAAAAGTGATTGGTGATCATTAATAAATACTGACATTGGTATGGTAACCTGTTCGTACTTTCAACTTATTTCAAGCAAGTGTTACGAACTATTTAAATACCTTTGAGTGTTATAAAAGAGACTTCAGACAACCAGAAATGAGACTAATCTCATAACCATTCAGAGTAGTTCCTTGTCATAACAACATACCAGAAGAGCTGATCAATCTTACAAATACATTCCACCCGTGAGACACAAAGGTTACCTGTTCTATTTTAATAATTACAAAAGTTATCCAAATTCCATTTCATTTACAATTACCTAAGTTATTAATCATCTTTCCAAATTTTACAGACAATTTGCTATGATGATGCATGCCAGCTCAAGAAATTCACGCAAAACCTAACAAGAAACCAGCTAACTAGCACGGCCAAGAAAATGTCACAAACGGTAATGGTGTGCGACAAATTTCACTTCAAGAACCACAAGGACATGTGGTGCAAAAGAAACTGCAGTCCTTACACTTGCGCTAGCCTCCATGTGAGGTTCCCCTTAATCCAATATCATGATTATTTCAATTTATTATATAGACATGATTGTTTTACTGGAACTGGAAAATATACCAGACTGAAGTCTCTCCTGAAGCCTCTGCGCACAGTTTAGGCACATGGTTTGATACGCATCTAGATATGGGAACTCACTGTCATATCAGGAAATATTTATTCAGAGAATAAACTGTGAAATTAGTTCATGCTTTTTTCAGTGATATATCAGACTATGAAACTGCAACATGTTATGAATGCGAGTCTAAGACTTATATATCGCGCGCACAAGTTCTGTCATATAACACCTCTACTCGCAGAATTACACTGGTTGCCAGTGCACTCTAGGATACATTATAAGATACTCTTGACAACTTTTAAATTTTGCATGGCCTATCACCTAAGTACCTTTCAGATTTCATTAGTATTCAACAGCCTTCGTCCTACAATTTGAGGCGCAACGACAATGGTCGTTTCTTGGAAAAACCAAGTGCGAAAACCAAGAAAACAATGGGAGACATTGCTTTCCAGGTAGCTGCTCCTCTCCTATGGAATAAGCTGCCAAGGTCCGCGCGCCAAGTAACGAACTTAGAATCTTTTAAGACTTTAATTAAGACATTTTTATTTAAGGAATCATTTCAGTTATCTTAGTATATCTATATCTATATTTGTAATTATCTTTTACTCACTTAAAGTAAATATTCTTACGATTTTTGACAGAAAGATTTGTAAAATTTAGTTATTAATAATTACTATTGTGATTGGCCTCCCCACAGACATCCTTTGGGGTTTGTCACGGAGAAATGAATGCGTGACAAAGTTCAAAGGACGTCTGCGGGGAGGCTATATTGTGATGCACTTTTGAATATTTTATAGAAAAGGCGCAATACAAATAATAAATGTTATTGTTAATGTTTTCATAACTCGAGAGTACTCATTTGAAGCTTTATCCCTTAAATGTAATAAAACAAACTTCCCACTACTAAACTGCTTTTTAGTTTCAAACAATGAGTTACATCCAAAGACTGTGTAAAACGCTGCTAAACCCAAGCATGTCGCTTCAATAATAATATTATTGACAGTAAATTAAAAATCGATTACAATGTTGTTCTTACAAGTTTTCTCTTTAACTTATTAAGACCATCATGCTTGCTCTGAAAAGAGAAGTTGCCAAATGACATGTCAATTGTACCAACATATATTTCCATTAAAGGGTAATTCTAGAGGCATTTTACTGTCTATCAGGATCACCACCCAGACAGAACACAAGTAACGAACCTTTAGCCCAAGTTGCAAAAATAATACCCCCCTCAAATTGAGTGAAACTGTAAAGGGAGCTGTTAAAGGAAGAATTGACCAAACTATGTGTTAGATCATAAGAGGCGTTATCTCTTCCTCATCACATCATCACTCCATGAAACATTCAGAAAGGTTGGCTCACCCCAGACCACCGATGGCTGCAATTTGCTGATCACAACAGCGAGCTGTTGCAACGATAAAGTTGTCAAGGCAATTTATGTTTCCCAAACAGAATTTGGACTAGGGTTTGTTTGTTTTGACTTGTCAAAAGATTTAATTAAGATTGTAGAATATCAGCTGTAAAATCCAAGACGCCCAAAGCACGAAGCCAAAGAAAAGCACACAACAAAAGACAATGACCCCAGCAGCACATCAACCTTTGTCACTAGATAAGCAGATCCAATTGGAGCAATTGAAGCACAGCAATCTACAGTTGCAGTTGGAGCTTATGAGGGCGCAGTTAGAGCTGGCAAAGCTAAGCCCAAACGTTCAGATAACTGTGACATGCGTGCCGATATTACGTAGTGGATTTATCTTTTGCAGCATTATAATGGCTTGTCTGTCATCCCATCCAATGTCACGATCGCAAATCCTAATCTTTTTGCCTATGTTTCGGTGAAAACTTCAAGCGCAGTTTTCCTCCTACCATTTTGGCTATAACATTGCACATCAATGCATTGGAACTTTTAACTGTTGTTGTGACAGTCAAACTCTGGGCCACACACCTTCAAGGTCTAAACGTTGAACTTAACTCTGACAACACCGCCTGTATCGCTGCAAATAACAACAAGTCGTTGTCAAATGTTTACATGCAGTGTTGTTTACGCGAACTCTGGCTGATCCTTTTTGTTCATAATATTTCTTTAGTTATTCATCACGTACCAAGCAAAGAGAATTATATTGCTGATCGCTCAGCCGTTACGACTCGGATTTTTTCGCAAGACGATTTGTTGACCATTATGCGGTCACCCATGAACTCGTAGAGGTCTCTATACCAGATTCTTTATTCAGTTTTTTATTTCTTTAACACATTTTTTCTTTCTTTTTTTTTCTTTTTTGCAGATCGCTCTCAAACGTTAGTTGATTACGCATATCATGTCCAATGATTTGCCTTTCAAGAATCGATGAAATGCAACATGCGTAGCCAGTTGCAAGCCTATCTTAATTTTTGCGCTCATTATCAGTTTAGTCCTTTTCCCGTCTCCAAACACGTTTTCTTTGCTTATCTAGTTTTTCTTTCCCAATCATTGGCGTCGTATCAGTCACTCCTCAATTATATTAATATTCTGAAGCACATCAACAACGCTTTAGGTGCCCATCTGTCTTTCATGTCCGATTACGACTGTTTTCTTACACAGCGAGGATAAATTCGCGTGATGGGTGATCATGTTTATCACGCATTTCCTATCACTATAGACATGTTATTACGCATTTTTCAGTCATTTCAACCACGCAATGTTTTTCATGCCTGCATCCGTGCAGCTTTTCTGGTCACATTTTTCTCATTTCTCAGAATTTCCACTTTGGTTCCGTCATCAACTGGTATAATAAGAAACAGCTAACCCTTTGTTTCCAAGGTCGAGATGGTCCCTCCTTAAAGGACAAGTTGGTCAAGTTTATTCAAAATAAACAGGGAACAGAAGCTGATACGCCTGTCTTGGATGCTTCAACAACCGAGCAAGAAATTCCGTCTTCGCAAGAAGCCAATGGCATCTGCAGTAATCGACTAGCTTCGGCCGCCGACGCCGGACTTGAGAACAGTATTCAAGAGCGATCGAACTCGGTTATCAGTGCTGATATTGAGGGCTTAAAACTGGATTTACTAATTCTTCAGAAAAAGGTTGAAGCAAATACAAGCCTTCTGTCGACGAAATGCAAATTACAAGAAACCGCTTTTAGCGCCGAGCTCCTCGATTACAAAGAGAGGTATGAGAAGGTGTTATCGACATTATCTAAAAAAAAAGATAATGAAATTGAGGTGTTGGAGGAAAAGTGTTTTTCCTATGAGAGCCAAGTTTTGTCCTTGCAACAAGAAAATGATTCTCTTAAGCTGGCTATGAAGATCATTATGCAAGAAAGAAGCGAGGGCGAATGCCGCCAACAAAAGAAATGTGATTGTTGGTCCCAAGTGGGCACACTTGGGAAAAGTGTGAATGATAAACATATCCAGCGGCCGTTGGCGGCCTGCAATATAGAAACTCAGAACAGATTTGAGCCCCTTAGAAGTGAGGTACAATTCCAAGTGAGAAATGAGGACAACTATACTGCAAATAACGAAGAAAGTCGCCAACAACAGCAACAGCAACATTCACATGTTGATTCATCTGAAGCGAGCCGGGCATTTGATTCAATTCCAACTAGTCATAACCGCTATCAGGCCTTACTTGTCTCTTCTCCTTGAGTCAAGTATCCTCTGAGATGCCACTGCATCAGTCTGGAGCGCACATAAATACCTCTCGAGTTAGTGCAAATAACTCCAAAAGCGGTGAAGTCGGAAAGACAAGACCCATAGTGCTTATTGGTGACTCAATGATAAAACACATTGATCCAAAAAGCTTTCGCAAAGACATGTACATAAATTCTCATATCCCGGAAAACCACTGCTGAAATAGCTGAAGCTGTTGACAACATCGCTGTTGCATCCGCTGATCCTTCTCACGTCATCATCCATACTGGCACTAACAATCTTCCATCGGAGTCTGCCGATTCATGTGTCGCCGATATCAAGAGCCTTGTATTGAAGGTGAAGAGCAAGTTTCTAACTCAAGCATTGGTCTCGGGTATAGTCTACAGAGAAGATATCAACGTCGATGCTAAACGCATTGAAGTTAATGAGAGGGTCAAGCTCACAGCAGTAGATGATAACTTTACTTATATTGATAATTCGGTTATTGACGCCTCAGCATTAAATGGTAGTAGACTTTTCCTTCAAAAGGGCACTCAACCATTTCTTATAGAAATTTCCAAAATTTTAATAGAGAGAGTTTTCGTAACGATATCGCTCAGCAAGACTGGTCCTGTAATGTTTCTGAAGATCCAAATGTTTTGTGGTCTGACTGGAAAACGAAGTTTTTGGATATTGTTAATATTCATGCGCCACTCCGAACTAGACGTACTAGAACAAATAAAGCACCCTGGATCAATTCAGAATTAAAGAAAGGCATGCGTGATCGTGATGCTGCCAAAAGAAAAGCAATTACATCGAATGATCCACACGATTGGAAAAGGTACAAAAAGTTGCGAAATATAATAAACAATGACATCAAAATTTCTAAAGCATCTTATTATTCTAATGCATTTATTCAATCTAAGGGTAATCCTCGAAAAACGTGGCAAACCTTTAATTAGCTTACATCCCGTCGTGTGAATAATACAACGGTGAAAGAACTGAAATTGAATGATACCATTATCTCTAATTCTAGTGAGCTTTCTGATGCTTTTAATGACCATTTTTCAACAATTGGGCCCAGACTTGCTAATGAAATACCTCTAACTGCTGAAAATAATTCAAGTTATATCAATAATATAAAGGTAAATAACAACAATTTCAGCTTCTCCTCGACTAACTGCAGCATTGTTTTCTCACATCTAAACAAATTATGTAGATCTAAAGCAACTGGTCTTGATAATATTTCTGCTAAAATTGTACGTGAATGTGCTGATCTTATTTCAGTTTCACTATGTGATCTCTTTAATAAATCTTTAGTCTCTGGTATATTTCCTGATGATTGGAAATGTGCTAGAGTTACTCCGTTGTTCAAGGAAGGTGAGCCATCTGATCTGAATAATTATCGACCTATTTCAGTCATTTCCGTTATAGCTAAAGTGTTTGAAAGGATTGTTTATGATCAGTTGTATAACTTTTTGACCAATGAAGATATCATTTCTAATCATCAATCGGGTTTTTTCGCCGTTACACTCAACTGCAACTGCCCTTCTGGAAGCTACGGATAATTGGGCCTTTAATATTGATCGTGGCAATGTTAATGCTGTGGTTTTCCTCGATTTAAAAAGGCTTTCGACACCGTTGACCACGATATCCTTCTAGCTAAAATGAACCTTTACGGAATACAAGGTACAGCTCTTGATTGGTTTAGGTCGTATTTAACTAATCGTACAACGATGTCTTGTTAACGGTTCTCTTTCTAGAATCTGCTCTCTTAAATGTGGGGTACCGCAAGGAACAATCCTTGGCCCCTTTTTATTTCTTATTTATATTAATGACTTGCCAAACTGCCTTTTACTGTGCCAGCCTAGAATGTATGCCGATGACACCCACATTACTTATGCTGGCGTTGATGTGAATTCAATACAGTTAACTCTGAGTCACGATTTAGATAACCTAAACAAATGGCTTATTTCCAATAAACTTACTTTGAACACTTCTAAAACTGAATTCATGCTAATTGGCTCCAGACAAAAATTGAGTACTTTGTCGAACCCACTTGAGCTCTCGATTAATAATGTTCCGATAGAACACGTTTCCTCTGTCAAATCGCTTGGAATATTTATTGATGAAAATCTACGGTGGCAAACACACATTGATAAATTATCTAAAAAGGTCGCTTCGAATTGGAGCAATAAAAAGAATTAGACCTTTTGTCCCTCCACCTACCCTTCACTATATATACAACTCACTAATTCAATCTCATTTCGATTATTGCAATCTTGTCTGGGGTAATTGTGGTAAAACATTATTTGACAGGCTACAGAAGCTTCAGAACCGTGCCGCTCGCGTTTTAACCTTCTCTAGCTATGATGCTGATGCTAACCGTTTGATTAGACAACTCGATTGGAAAGACTTGAGCACTCAATTTCAAATGGCCTTGTTCCTGAATATTTATCATCTAAGTTTGTTAAACGAAATGAAACGCGTTACTCCCTGAGGGACTCTGTTAACAAACTATTTGTCCCATTTCCGCGAACTAATTTCATGAAAAACAGCTTTACTTATAGCGGAGCAGTTCTCTGGAACAGCCTACCCTGTCATGTGAGAGAAGCCGAATCTCTTAGTCAATTTAAAAGATTAGTTAATGTTCATTTTTAATGTTATACACGGCATTCATGAAAAACAGGTTTTAGTTAGATTAGTTGTAGTCAGGTTTTGAATTTTGTTTAGGATAGTTAGGTTATTTTTAATTTTTTAAATTCCTGATGGATTTTACCGTGTTTAAATAAAGATTGACTTGACTTGACTTGACTTGTATACTTTGTCTGATGTCCATTCTAGCGCCAGTTTCGTCCTTCGTCGTAGGGATATTACTTTCACAGCCTCTGGTGCTTATCTTCACGTTTTTAAGACCAAGACATTCAGTTCAAGCAAAAGATCTTGGAGATACCCCTTCCCGTTATCCCTAACTCCATTTTGTGTCCGGAAGCCGTGCTCACGACTTATTTCAGTTTGATTCCTGCGTCTTCCGATTCTCCGGTTTTCTTAGCACCACACGGTTCTGGGTTCACGCCCTTCTTAGCCCAGCATTTCAATTTGTTTCTCAAGTGTTGCGTTTCGTCTATTGGCGAGGATCCCACGCATTTTTCATCGCGCAGTTTCAGAAAAGGGGGTGCCACCTTCGCCTTCAATTGCAGAGCTCCCATCGAGTTTATCAAGGCTCAAGGAGATTGGAAAAGTGATGCCTCCTTAGTTTATCTTACTTTATCATCTTCCAAAAAACTAGCCCTTTTGAACGCCATCACCACTAAACTAGCAAATCGCTAGTTCACCAACATCCGATTTTTATTCTTATTAATATTATCTCGTCCTCTTATTCGGGTTTGGGGTTTTAATTTCTGGTTCGCTCGCTTTCCCTTGGTTAATAAAGATCCAGAAACTTTTGACCCATTCCAGTCTCAAGTCTTGTCTTAGTGTTAATTTAAATTGTTGGCAGAGGAAACTGGTCAGAATCCAATTCTCCCAAGGTATACCCAGGAAATAGCACCTGATACCTACATCATCATCAACCAAAATCTTCTGGTAACATTGATTTTTCTGTCAATCAAGCAGTCACTATGCACCAAAAAAAGATACTCTTTAACTCTTCTTTACAGAAATTTAACTTTCACGGACCCTTATGTCTGAGCATTGCACTATGGTTTACAGTTTGCTGAAACTATCTGTAAAAGAGTTGTCCAAGGTTGCAAAGGATGCTGATGCTGGAAAGGATGGAGTTTTGAGTAGACCAGACAAAAGACATCAAGCAGTAACCTTCAATTGCAAACAAGCCTGATGAGATCCTGGAGCGAGAAAGTACAATATGTTTGTGGTATTTCACCTGCCCGTTTGCAATATATCTGGTAGCCACAATCGGCGACAAAATTGTTGAGACATTGTACTTAAATAGGGTGACTTCGGAGAACAAAAGAATCTGCACCCCTCCCCTGTCCCCTCCATTCAAAGTTGAGGTGTTTGTTGTTTTCTACAGGTAGCGAGAACAAGGGCCCAACATTGTACGGAGGGGATGGGGGAGGAAAGCTATATTTCCTCCTTTTGAAGTTCATAAAACGTAAAAAAGCCTACTTTTGGGCAAAGTGTCTCAACTCATTTTGTCGCCGATTGCAGGTGTTCCATGATCACCGAAACCCAAAATCCGGTCAACAGGCACCTAAATCCAAGAACTGCCTCCAAAAAAGCTGTCTCAAACTCGACCATCTACCATTCAGGTTTTTTTTTTTTTTTCACTAGTCAGATGTCCTTTTTGGTCCTGTTACAGCTTACAGTTTTACTTTAATTTCCACTTTAGCAAGCTGTTCAAAAAAGGAAACAAATTTGAAAAAAAAAGTGGTAGATGAAATACTCATCAAATTGTATAGGAAGAATCAGAATTGGTGGCTAACTAGTACCATCAAAAAGACATGAAGGGGATGTCATTTGTTTTATTGGAGCTGTTCAATTAGAAACCACGAGGGGAAATAGATAAAGGACCATTCAACATCTCTTCCCCATGGAGTTGAGTTGTAACAACCCTGCCCTGTAACGATGAATACTGAGGCAAAAGTCTTCTGACCTTGCTGCAGAGCAGCAGCAGGTAACATTAAGCCCATTGCTCTACAGGGGCAAGACTAAAAGAACACTTTCTTTTATTTCATTTTCTTTAGTGTAAAGTCACGAACAATCATGTGAAGTTGATATTTGGGAGACATATACCTCAAGAGGAGCTTTATGGTGGTGCTTCAGTGGTTTAGATTGACACATAGGAAAAGAAACAAAATAATTAAACAGCAATTAGCTTTTCCGCAGGAGATTTTGTAATTATTGCAGTTGTTGAAATTCAAATAGTATCATCTTTTATACACAGCTCACGGCTAGAGTACTTTTACTTAGTAATCAGGAGAGAGCGAGTTTGATAGTGAGACGAATCCTTGTTTGTGATTAATCCATTTCTATAGTTAAATAAATTGTCATGGATTTATGGGGAGCACAGGGGCAATTCATGACAAAGTGAATCTTTACAAGGCTATTAGAAGCCTTTTTTGCTTGTAGAAAGTCAATTAGGTATAGCATGTGTACAGAGGAGACATTTTCTGACCCCTACTTCAGTTATCGCTTGAATCTTCCAGTTTACAAGAGCTTTGTCTTTAGCAGGTAGTTTCTAATCAATGTTTAGCTATGTAGGAGATGTCTTAAAAATCCATTAAACAAATAATCAACAAAAGAAAAAATGTAGGAATGGCACAGACATTACAAAATGTCTATTGTGGTAGTTTACATGGTAACTACCATTTTTCAAATTCGATTTGAAAGAAGTTTACATCAGACATGTATTGACTCTACCATAGGGGTTTTTCTCAAAAATGAGTGTTTTAAGTCATTTACATGATCCAATATTGACTTTGAGGTCAAAAGTGTGCATCATCCACATTTGTTACATTGCTTGATAACAAGAAAAAGACATCATTGACTCTCCATAGCGTGCTGCCTTCTCGCGGCGGGAGTCGTTATTAGCTGGCTGGTGAGTGCTGCCCCTAGTCTACACAGCCGCACCTGGCAGGGCCTTGTCTGCCTTACTTGATGATTGTGCCTATCACTCACAAATTCAACATCAGGGCTATGTCCCTTCACATGCTCTTTTGAGCCGAAGTCTGCTTTTACATCTGGAAAATGAGGCACAGTAGGGCGGAAGGCCCTACATACGTGCGGGCCTTATACTGCCCATGGATTTTATGGCGGGATGGGCATTCACATTGCCGCCGCTAGCCGGCGGCCATAGGCCCTCAGGCTACTTACATCTGCCTAGCCAGACTTTAACATCAGTCATATGGCTTATTTATTTGGGGCTGTGATCTTGCCCAGCTATTGTGAGTGAGACAATGGTGTTCTCTTCTTGTTTGGTGGGCTTGTCCTATGTCAGGTCGTGTGCTTATACCATCTGCTGGGGGTGGTCGTACCGGCCGGTGAAGCTAAAGGTGCCCCAAGCTGCTGCGGGTAAACAGCCCGTAGTAGCTCTTTGCGTTGCTTTCGATGAAAACTCAAATGACAATGGGGAGCCTGCCACTGCGGGCTCTTCCAGTGACGCTCGATCCAGCAAAGTAAATTTTTCCGTGGGTACTATAAACATGTGTGCTTTGTAGACACTACTTGTCTGGAATTACCCAACAATGAAGAAGGCTTCAGACTTTACTGCTTCACCAAGTTCAGCATATATTAATTATGTCCATAGGTCCTAGGACATAACCCCCTGTGATCAAGAAAACACCAATCATATACATTCGGTTCTTTGGGCCACTACCTTTACATTTTCAAAATGGAAAAATTGTGTTTACATTGCAGTAAAGACCATCTGGATTTATAGAATTAGAATTAGGCGGCTTCAATTGAAGTCGTCTATTTTGGTAATTTACTAACAAACAAAAATTCTAGTTAATCAGTAAAAAAATCACTCTCACTTTACATTCTCGTTATTCACAAGAAAATGTTGCAATCACTGTGTTTATACTTGAGAAGTGACACTCTTCTCGGTTAATTTAGTAAAAAGGCAGCCGTAGGATATCAAGACAGATTGCAAAAAATGAAATAGATTTTCATAAATATTGATGCCACCTGTCTTTCTTGAATAAGAGAGTTGGTGCTGTTCTTTGTTGCTTAATGTAAGCCTCAAGATGCTACAAGAAGAAAGGTGACCGTTAAACAAGGACAGTGACCATGCTTTAACAAGGGGACCCATTGCAGCCCTTCTATCAGAAAACCACCAAAAACCCAACTGAGCGAGGTCACACTGGCTTTGATGGAGTTAAGTCTAGAGACTGACAAATTAATGGAATAGGCCTTGAAACTGGGTAATGACTTGTTTTCCTGTAGCTTGCCATCACTAAAATTGGTGGTGAGAGCACTGTTCAGTAATCCCTAAAATACACTGTCAGTTAAAGTCCCATAGCCCCTGACACAGAGTTTAAGTGGACACAGGTAAGTGTTCACCATGGTGAATTTTTTGTTGAATGACTGCCAAAAAAAATGAGGCATATCTTCAACAGCACCCAAAAATGCAAAGATGATGACCGATTTGATTCAATTGTTGGAACAAAGACAAATGTCAAACCCCAACCAGTACCAGCAACCTCTTAGATCTTATGCCTCCATCCACCATTACTAGTGGGCTCTACCACTATAAGTACTGCAGCATTCCCCAACTAAAAATTCCACGTTCCAGTACACAAAAGACGCAACTTGAAGTGCTCTACAGATTCCAGACGCACTAAAATACCTTCACTCCATTATACAAACTTAAAGGCTTCAAAGAAAGTCCGAGGTCACAATTACAAGGTGTTCTTTGGGCATCAAAGATCAGAGAAGACCTTTTCTCTAAAAGCATAAGATGCTGTGGATTCTTTTAAGTACCAGTAACTATTTGATATCACTATTGCAGCAGAATCATGCGTGACATTTCTGTGTGACATTTTTTGTGCGACATTTCATTGCATTGCGGTGGCCTGGACCGAGCCGGGTCCCGGATGACTACACTAGTTGCATTTTTCTTTGCAAAACGTTTTCCCAGAGATTTTAGTAAGACAGTTAAATTAAGGTTTCTCTATGGTTTACGGTATCAAGGACTCTCCTTTGTACGGATTAAGGACTCTCTAAGGTGTTGCAAGGCATAAGGACACAGATGTGAGTTTTTTCTGTTCATTTAGAGTGATATGTTCTTGTTTTTATTGTATTTTCGTATTCACGCCGTGCTTGCTTGTAATGCTAGGTTTTTATCGCTTTCTTACAGTTTTCGTTACCGCATTATCGCATCATATCATCACATTATGGCTTCACTCATTGCTTCTGAATCAGCCATTTGTTAGGAAAGTCAGTGGTCTGAATCAAGAGTGCGTGTAAATGAATTTCTGTGGATACTCCGAGTAAACTGAGCTGTTGTTTGTACGTTTACTGCTCGTTGCAAGGTCAGTGTCGCAGTTCCGCTGCCACAATTCACGTAGTACAAAAACGTAGAATTGTATGGCTTTTTGCATGTATTTCTCCTAAGTGATAGTTCACACCAAATTTATCACCGGGAATCTCCCTTTAAAAGCTTAGTAGAACTTGCCAAGATCTTCTGCAATTAACTAATTATACTAATATGTCATAACACATGGACGTAAAAAAGGAAAAAAAAGGTCAACAATGTCTTATTTTTTCATGTAACTGTTGGCACTATGAGTCCAGGTTTCCTTACTAAGCCATTTTACCTGACAACTTGGTCAAACAATAAGCACACTGTCAGCCTCCTCAAGCACCCAAAAATTACACTACTAGAACATGCCAGGCACTTTAGCAGCAGCATGTTAATGGTGATGAACCAGTAAATGACGATCCACTGGTGTTGTCCAAACTGATGTTCTTCAAAAACAAAGGAAGAACAAAAAGCCACATGCAAGTCACAAAACACCAAAGAAGCAAGGAAGAACACAAGGAAAAACAGCCAAAAAAGACCGATTATCGCGCCTCAGGTGTGGATGAGCCGACATTGGTGTCTTTCCTTGTCCATTCCCAACAAAGAAACAAAGGCCTTCATAGAGAGGATGATGAAGGCTGACCAGCAGTATAGAAAGGAACAGCAAAAATTTTCGATTTGACGCATTTGCAATACTGGGCAACATCCTTAAGGAAGTCAGCAAAGAGAAAGGGTGAAAGTTCCACCATGTCTTTTTACTTTCATGAAGTTTTATTTATTACAATTCTCACTAATTAGTTGCATTTTCTGACGCAAACAGAAATTTATACTAATTCAAAATGTTTTATTTATTTCGAATTTAATAAAGAACAGTTTGTTTGATTAGCTTTTCCTTATCATAAAAAACAAGGCAAACAAGTAATAAAACTCAAAAATATCTTTTGCTCTTGAGTAATTTTCTAGTTATGAGTAATTTTTGTACTAATTTGAGGGTGCATTTTGAATGGATGTTCCATTGTTAAAAAAAAGCTTTTTGCTTAAAGTTCAGAGTGATATTCTCATGTCTATGGATAATCAGGAAATAACACTTCTAGTGCTATTAGACCTGACTGCAGCTTTTGACACCATCAATCACAAAATTCTTCGTGATGTCCTTGAAAACAATTTTGGAATCATCGGCTCTGCCCATGATTGGTTTGCCTCATATCTATCTGACCAAAAGCAAAGTGTTCATATCAACAACTGGTCTTCCAATGATTTTAATTTGAGCTGTGGTGCCCTGCAAGGAAACTGCTTCAGCTCAGTTTTGTTTATTTTGTACATTTCACGGCTTAATAAAGTTATCTTCCTGTATTCTTCCAATGGGGGCGACAATGACACCACCATTGAGAGCTACCTTAAGACAATCATCAATTATGAGATCAAGGAGTTTAGTGACATTAACCACTCAACTAGAACTCTTGGGTGAAAGTTATATGCACATAAAGGAAAGGTCAAAGGACTAACCCCCACTGTTACCGCATACATCCAAAAGTGCTTCACATAATGCTTCAACCAGAACAAGAACAACCCCAGTTCACTGGTACAATTGTTCCTCACCCTTTCAGGAATCACCAGGCATGCTCGACTTTGTGCAAACACAACACACACCTTGTCAATTATTGCCACGCCGACTTACTATTTTGAAAAGTCCTAAGTCGTATGCCTCAAAGATACCCTCACTCCTTTCCTTACTGAGGATTCCAGCCCTATTATTAGACCACGATTAACTTTGCAGGCAACCATGGCTATTTTGTTCTACTTTTTTTCATCACACTGGTCTTACCTAATGAGCCAGGATGGTACTCATATAATATCATAAAAGATATAACAATGGATGCGTGCAATCACTTATTCATATCAGGATATAAGATAGCACAGCATAGCACAGCAATAAAAGACAAAAGTTTTGGCATACTTCAGTGTAAATGTTAATATCTTGAATATACAAAATACGTTCTTGAAAATACCAAAATATTTGAATGATAATGTCTCCATCAGGAGGTATAGTCCGTTGGCCACTGTAGTGGCCTGGCCCACGCTCGCCCGTAGGCCACTAGAGTGGCCCAAAAATATGCGCTTCTATCTAACGATTTTATTGGTCAGTTTTTGAAAACAAAAACCTCTATAGTTGTGTCTGCCAATTAGAAGAAAGATAAAAGGTCCCTTGGGAACATATAGCATCACATCAGACCATTTTGTTGAGTTTTTATGAATTTTTTATGTTCAGTGCGATCAATATGGCGGCAGCTGATGGGGGCTTGTTTGATAGTACTGACGATGAAGAAGAGTTTTTAGGATTTAGAGAAGAAGATATTCCTGTTAGCGTAGACGAAAATGACAAAGATTTACGTGGGGATAGCAGGGGTTTCAATAGTAGCCGGGTAGCGGGTAGATCTACCCGCTGGCAGATTACCCGCTTGGAGCCTTCACACGAACGTCAAGTAACACCAGGTAATTTCATCTCAGCTTCGAATTCTTGCCAAAAACTTTAGCAAAATAGATTTTATGATGTAGCAAAACAAAAGGAAATGAAAAGGAAAAGACATTCTGGCATCTTCCAAGCCTTCTGGCCCATGAAAGTTGAAGCAAAGTCTGCAAAACTTGTAATAAACATTGCTTCCGAAGCTACGTCAAAAAAAATGTGCAAGGCATCTCAGCTGAAATCGAGGGGAACTGGGACAGAGTGTGAATTCTAATGGCGGCGAAAAGGCAATTGTTGTTTGCATATTTCACGCCAGTGTCAAAACAAAAGAGGTGTTAAGGCTCGGCTCTTGAAAGTCTTGAAAATCCAGACTAGTTGTAAATTAAGTGGCTTCAGACTGATATAAGTGATATAAGACACTCGGTTACATACACTGTTTAAGTTGCTTCTGTGTTTTTGTAATGATATATGACTAAATATAATCATGTTTCTCTATAGAAAAGACTAATTTTTTTTTTTGATATAGGATTAACCCCATTAAACTTGGTAGTTTCGAAAACGAAGCACTCGAAAACGAAGACCGAAGCACGAAGCACCCAAAACTCGAAAACGAAGCACTCTAGCACTCTAGCACTCTACTCAGCGCATTCCGACACGAGACTCGGTGAGACTGATCTAACTTGCGCAATATTTTAAAAAATTGCAGAGGTGTGAAAAAGGCAACGTGACCAGTGGTGAAAGTGTTAAAAACAAATCTCACTCTTAAAACTGATCCTCATTAGTGCTGCGTTTTTTATTATTCAGTGAGGCGCCCGGGTGCGGTGGCGCAGTTCAAATAGGTAAAAAGCATAAAAAAAATCAAATGGCAGGTAACAAACAATAATATCGTCTCAACTAAAACAACGTGTAAGCAACGCATTAAAATTCATACAAAATTTCAACTACAACAAAAGGAAAATCAATTTCCGTTGGTGTTTGCGATTTTCTCACATCTGATTAGTCCCCCACGCAGCCGTGACTACACAAAGAACGGCTGTGTGTAGGAGACTAACGCCTGATTGGCTTTTACTGGCAATACAGTAACATTCTAGAAATAGTTTGCGCGTTCTCGGTTTTCTGATCACGTCGAAAACATAGCCTCCCACCGGGCCTCCCACGCAGCGGCGGAAATGCATTTACAACTTGAGTAGATTTGAACTGCGTTCGATTCGTTATCGAATACTCGTTATCGCGCTTGATTTCTGCTGTATTTACATTGGTCTCGTGTTTATAAAGGACAGACCAGTGTCGAGTTTTTTGGGTGCTTCGTTTTCGAGTTTTGGGTGCTTCGTTTTCGATTTTGTTCGTTTTCGATCTTGGGTGCTTCGTTTTCGAGTTTTGGGTGCTTCGTTTTCGAGTTTTGGGTGCTTCGTGCTTCGGTCTTCGTTTTCGAGTGCTTCGTTTTCGAAACTACCTTTTTCGAGTGCTTCGTTTTCGAAACTACCATTAAACTTAGACCATTTTAAAGATACCAGTGGTGAAAGTGTTAAAAAGTAGCACCTCAAAAGAAATAGTTGACTGTGACTACTTCATTGTAACATAATTCTCTTCAAATTTGTTTAAATTGGTTGACTTAGGAGCATAAAAATGAAACAACAAAGCAACAAAAAAAGACCTGAAAATGCATGAAAATGCATGTGCGAGAGTCTAGAACTTCAAAATTAGCCCGAAGGGCCTTCGGCAAATATACCCGCCTGTAACTCTTAAGTACCCACTTGTGCAAAAACTTATTGAAACCCCTGGGAGAGTGATATATCATTCAGTGAGAGCAGTGACGAAGAAAGCGGTGAGGAATCGGACGATGAATTGCCTGACGACGACACATGGAGTCGCAATTTGCGAAATGTTCATGTGAACAATTTTGAAAAAGACACGGGGCCAACAAATATTCTTCCCCCAGAAGCAACGGCAGATAGATTTTTCTATCAACTTACTGTTCCCTGAAGATTTGATAGAATTAATTGTGAACGAGACAAACCTAAATGCGGAACAAAAACAAAGAGCTGCGGGAAGACAAGATCAAAACTGGACGCCCGTGAATGGCACCGACCTTCGTGCATATTTTGGGATCCGAATACTTCAGGGGATCAAAACTTTGCCTTCAGAGCGACATTTCTGGTCCAGAAATAAGTATCTTCATGTCAAGAAAGTCAGCGATACCATGACTCGCAATCGGTACCTGAAAATAAACGAGTACCTACACTTCAATGATGCGACAACAGCGGTACCACGAGGCCACAAAGGACATGACAAACTACACCAAATTCGCCCACTAATTGAAAGGCTTACAGAGACATTTTCAGCAGAATACAAACCTAACAAAGAAAATGCAATTGATGAAGGGCTTATAAAGTTTAAAGGACGCCTTGGGTTTAGGCAGTACATGCCTCTTAAACCAGCAAAGCACGGAATTAAAGTTTGGCTTCGTGCCGATTCAGTCAGCCATTTTGTTTGTCAGTTCGATGTTTATACAGGGAGACCAAATCGAGGGCAAGAACATGGGCTCGGAGAACGAGTTGTAAAGGAACTTTCAAGAGATTTGGCCAATGGAAACTATCATCTTTATTTTGACAATTTCTTTTCGTGTTTTAAGCTCATGAAGGACCACCTAGACGACAATATTTATGCCACGGCTACAACGCGCGCAAACGGGAAAGACTTCCCCCTACCGCTCAAGGAGGCTAAACTGAACCATGGTGAATCAATTTCAATGCAGTGAAATGGCGTTACTGCATGTTCCTGGCAGGACAAAAAGAAAGTGAACTTCTTGACCACCAATTGTCAACCAACTGGAGACGATACTGTCCTGCGAAGAGAGAAAGACGGCACACAAGAAGTCCTGAACGCACCGCCGTGTGTAGTTGCATACAACAAGTTCATGGGTGGCGTTGATTATGCTGACCAGAAGAGAAACGAGTACCGAATTCTGGTAAAGTCGCGGAGCTGGTACCGTTATTTGGCTTTTTTTCTTTTTGAAACAGCGATAGTGAATGCTTACATTTCGCGGCAGCTTTCCCCAAACCATGGGGGCATCACGCAGCTTGATTTTCGCCCGGAATTACTCGATAAACTTATTGGGAACTATTCATCGGGCAAGAGAAAACGAGCTTCAACCGATATTGAAGTACTTGATGGAAAATCACATTTTCCGGTCTGTGTTACTTTAAATCGCTGTGTTTAGTGTGCATCAAGAAACCAGAGACACCGTTCAACTTGGGGGTGTGTTTTATGTGATGTAACTCCGTGTGTCTCGTGCTTCGAGCCATTCCATACAAGGTGAAGGAACCTTCGGCGAATCAACATGGCGCGCGCGCGAATTTCAAATTTAGTGACTGAGCAAGAAAATGGTGTATTTCATTTGTTCCCAAAATTGTTGATGGAAAAACTTTGATTTAAGTTTTGTTGTGAAATAATCTCATAGTATAAGATGTTTTTCATGTTTATAATGTGATCTCTAAAGAGATAAGCAATGGAAAACAAGAAAGACAAACATTTCACCATTCATTTTGATTTTATTGTCAAACTTTTCAGATTTTTCATTCTAAAGTATGTTACCTTAAGGCTTTAAAAACATGATATCATGATTCAATAAACATTAAAGAGGGTCTGTATTTTTTTGTAGCCTCTTAACTTCAATAATTTCTCAGCAAAATTGAATTATTCCTTCCAGTGTGGTTATTCATGGCTGATCTGCCATTTTGCTTTGGGCATAGACACCACCCCCTCATTTTTGGGTCTGGGCTATAGTGCTTTATTTAGGAATACAGTCCTGTACAGTTTTATATCTCGCAGGGAGATTTTTATGCATTAACGAGTCATAGCACAAAAACAGCATTAGAATCTGGCCAGAGGATTGAAGAAAAGAGCACCAGTTTCATAATAAAGCTTTCCTAAGCTGAAATTCAATTCCAAACCTTGGTTTGAAATTATAGTTCATGATTGAAAATTTGGTTGGACTTTGATACTGGGTGTTTTCAAGTTAGTTTCAATATTAGGAAGTCTAGTTGATTATTGAAATCAGTACTGGGAAAAATATACATGGATGACATAAAGCAGACCAAGATGAATATAAATGGCAGTTGGCAGCTTCCAGCTGTGACATGAATTAATAAAAACAAGATGCTGTGGGGGCATACACATTTGGGTGTCCATGTACTGGGTGTGGAAGTTTTATAAGTGTGTTAGGGATGTGTGAGTAGTACAGTAGCGTTGTATATTTTAGGGGTTGGTTGAGATGTGTAAAGTGGAAGGCGTGGAGTTATATTGGACGTGGATTGGTAAGATAATGGCTGTAGGTTGTTAGTGAGTGAAACCGGTTTCGCATAGAATCAGATACAATAAGAAGTAACAAAAAATAATTTTTGGGAAGGTAAAAGTGATTTCAGGTGTTGCAAAAAATCATCCTCTGAGAGGACATGTCCTTACTGACAATGAATAGTCTGTACAATGAAAAAGGGCAATGACCAGTACCTGTGGACTGGAGGAGAAACATTCACGCCGTGCACTGTAAGGACAATATTTTAATATTTTCCAAAGGGAAATTTAAACTATTTGATAGTTTGTTTCACTCAGTGTACCATGTTTTTTCAATACATTTGATTTCTACTGCCGATTTGCTTGCCATGCATTATCTGTGGGACATTATGTAACGAGGATAAACGCTGTGTAGTGACACAGCCTCTATTATCATATTCAGAGTAGTGGCTAAGCACTACAAGTTTCACACATTGTAGACTGTACTTAATGGTGGTATGAGTATCTGGACGATAGAAAAATCTTGCAAGGAAAGGGTGCAAACATTGTAGTTTTGGTGTCGGTTATTTATACCCTTAGATTACAACAATAAACTTCAAACTTTGACGGGAACTAGTATGGGGAATAACAGACCTTTCAAGTAAATTTAGAGAAAATTCATCTATGGAAATTAAAATAAACGAATAAATTAGCCACACTATTCATTTTTGCAGAAATACTGAAAATACAGAGAGATCAAACTGATTTTGTTGTTTTACTGAAGGTTGAAGGCTTGAAAAAGTACCTTTCTAATGGCGTGAAGAGAAGTTTGTGGGCATTCCACTGATTCGTTATTTTCATGGATTGGTTAAAATGTTTTAAAAAATCCAAAACAGACGTGCTTTATTCAAAAATGCTCTTATAGAAATCAACCAAACTTGGCCAAAGTGCTACCCATAATGTGCATTACTCATGCTTTCTGTTTGTTCTAAAGAGTTCCTTTCTCTCGGCAAAATTTAATACCAAATAACAAAAGTTCGCCATGGCAACATCCGAGTTGTGAGGGACGCTTCCATCTTCCAAAAGCTAACTGCATATCAAACTTCAGTGTATGGCTAGTTTACATGTAACATTGATATTCCAAGAAAGTCATGACTAAATGAATTTCTTCAAGGGTTGAAAATTAGTTATCAGGCAGTTAAAAAATCCTACCCAGCCACCTTAAATAAATGCAGAAATTTTCCTACCGGTGATGAACTTCTAAGCTGAAGAAAATAATGCAGCAGACTATCCACCATCTGCTCCACCCTTGACTTAATCTTCGAATAGTCATCAACAATGGATGAAAGACCTGGGGATTGAAAGAGGCATCTAATACAACAAAGCTCTGGTAGTTAAATCAGGGTGCAAAGAAAGTCAGTTCTACAGCCTGCCATTCGGGCAGGCTATAGCTAGCATGTTCTAGCCCACAAGTCATTTCAACAAGCCCCAAAACCTTTTTTGATTAGTAGGGTTGATTACAATCCCTCTGTAATTTGAATTTTCCCAAAAAAAACAGCACTTGCTCGTCAGGCAAGTTAAGAACAAAAATCACTAGCCCGATAGCAAAATCCACTAGCCCCAGGCTATCGGACATGACTTTCTTTGCACGCTGTAAATACAATAATATTATTGCCCAGCAATCATTAAAACAGAACACACTGTAAAGGAAAGCAAAAGAAGCACATCTAAGCAAACTTACTTCTTGAATACTGAACAATGAATAAGACAAGCGTACCTTGCATTCAACTATCTCTAAATACTAAGAAACACCTATTATCTTTTAGAATACACCAGAAGGACTCTAATAAAAATATAAGGTACCTTCAAGTTTGTTAATGCAAGCCTGGTACATCTGTTTTGGAACTGGCAGAGTTTCTTTACTTTGAAGTGTAGCCATTGTCAAAACTAAAGACGGAATGGAAAGGAAAATAAAACAGGAATTTAAAAGTAGTATACCATAGTGATACTGAGGGCCAGAGCTGTCACCATTGAAAAGTGCATTTTCTGGCATCTTCCACCAAACTTGGTCTCCTCAGATGCACGATTCCTCTCTAACACAGCATTTGCTCGATTGTAAAAGCTAAAAATTAGTTTCTCTAAAAAGGAGACAAAGGACAAGTTTTAAAAGTGTACTACACTGTAGGACGAGCCAACTTACACTCTAAAGCACCTAGCAGTGTACTCTTCAAAACAGAACCATCTTCCAAAAATAACATTGGATTTTCACTCCCCTCATGGTGAAAAGGTGCTGTATAAAGAAATACAAAATAATAGTTTAGACAAAGGATAATGTCATTATTACCAACTCAATAGTCCAGTTTTGAGTTTGCTTTGACCACTGAATTAAAGAAGTGAAGACACATTTTTACAGGCTTAGCCTCCATCTGAAGCAATATATTCACAAATTCTAATGAGAAATACACCCCTTTGTTACTGTCTATTGTGTATATTCAAATTTCAAACACTTACTTGCTGGAATTTCTGAATATTTTCCTTTATGTCGAGGCTAACCCTATATGAATGTGTCGTTAATGTTTGAATTCAGCAGTAATTTTTAATTCAAAACTGGACTATTACAGCTGTACTTACAGTCGAATCCCGGTAACTCGAACCCTCTATAACTCGAACCTCCTGCTAACTCGAAGCAATTTACATTTCCCTTCAGATCGTTTTCTATATAATTTCACCCTCGATAACTCGAACTCCCGATAACTCGAACTTTTTTCTATTTCCCTTAAAGGTTCGAATTATCGGGAGTCGACTGTATGTACATTTTTCTCTCTCAGAATAAAAATGTTACTGAACATTCTGTAGCACTCCCTTCTTAGCTCTTTAACCAGGAATCGTACATATATGTACCAACGTAAACTCTCTCTCTCAAGTTCTGTGATTTGGCCCCTGGACTGTTTCAGCATTTTTTACATGAAGTAGTTGACGTGACTTTATTCTGAGTCAATTCTAATAGAAGTTTGAATCAAATCTGCTGATTTTTTAGCTGTAAAATCCCAGTTTTTGTCATCTGTGGAACTTTAAGGTGTTATGAAAAGCTAAAGCTTCAAAATGTACCTTGACTGTTTTTTCCAATAAATTAAAAGTTGAGTTTTTGAGAGTTGAAATTAGAATTAATTTGGTGAAATATTGACAATAAAACCCATTTCATATTTTAATGCTGTATTTACAAGAGCATTCTAAGACGAACCTTTGGATATGATAGTTAATGGCCATGGGAGTTATAGTATGGAAGCTGTCAGCTATTTTCACAACACATCTATAGTGATAAAATGTCCCCCCCAAAATTTGGCTTTTTGTTTGGAAAAAAGTAATATCAATTTTGCTATGATGTTCTTTGGGAAATAACAGCTCTTGTTAGCAAAAAGAAAATTAGCAAGGATTTGGCAATCATATAACTACACTCTTGAAATTTGTAAACTCAGCGACTCAGATAATTTGAAAACATCAGTAAACTCAAGAACACAGAACTTCAATGAAGGGAAAGAAAATCCTTGCTTAGCAGTATTCTGCCACTTTAATGTTACAGGTGCACCTTCAGTTGCGCCATGATAAAAAGAGAAGTCAGCAGAATACCTAGACCGCATAATGGACTACAAAATGTAATTCATGAAAAACACATCCATACCATTTTTTAACAAATGCATGCATCTCTCTACATTAGACAAGGTCACACTTGCACATTCTTTTCTTGTATCAGCATGTGAAGATTCTGTGCCAATGAAAAGTTGATTGGAAGCACAATTACAATAAAAGACAGATTCAAGGGAAAAGGCAGTGGCTAGAAAACAAAGGATTGGAAGAATGCCAACCAAACAAAGGATTGGGAGTACAGGCTCACGCCTCATACTGTAAAATTCCAAAAATAAGCCCCTCCATGTATAAGCCCCTCCAAATATGAGCCCCCCAAACGGTAATGCAAAAAACCCTCCATTTAATTGCCCCTTCAAATATAAGCCACCCACAGGCTTGTACTTGGAATTACCCTCAAATACAAAGTAAAACAAAGCAAAAACAGTAAATTTACTTCCAACTATAAGGCTAGCCCAATCGATTTTGAAACACAAATTTCCCTCCATAGATAAGCCCCTCCGGATATAAGCTCCTCTTAAAAAGGGCCTTAGAAAAGTCTAAGCCCTGGGGCTTATTTTCGGAATTTTATGGTAATACTCTTCTTGAAACTAGTGCATTTGCAGTCAATTTATTTGTAACAATGAATCTGCTTGCTAAAAGTATTGTCACTGATTTGCTACTTAGGTCAGTTGGGTAGGATAAAAAGAACATGGTTTTGAAGAGAAGGTTGGGAAAAAAGACAGTGTAAATCGACCTGTGATAATTAAGGTTATTTGTTATAAAAGCAACTTGGCAAGTCCTGGGATGTCTACTGTACAGGACAAGTTGTTATGGACTCTTCATCATCTTGTTTTTGCTTACTTATACCAGAGTATTTTCTTTATATAACTTACCTAGCTCCAGTTCAGGTTTAGAGAGAACTATTGACATCAAATCTCTTTGCCCTTCCAACAACCTCTTGTCCAACTCCACAACCTCAAATATTAATAACAACAATATTACTAGGAAGTTCAAGCTTTGACAAACTTAGGACAGCAACGATCTAATGATAAATTCTTCTGGGTGATGACTAGGCCTCTCTTTCCCATAATCACATGTACATGTGCAACAGGACCGACTTGTTCAAAGCTGGGTTAAGATAACCCAGGGTTAGTGCGAGATTTGAATGCAGATTTGAAAGCTTAAAAAGCATTGCAGTTTTAATTCTTTTTGTCTACAAGTTGATGATTAAGAGGCTCTGAAAATAACAGATAAAATTATCCAAGAAAATGTTTTTGAACACAAGAAAAAAACACCCGGGTAAAGCGCTAATCAGGCTTCAAACAACTGGGCCCAGATGGTTGATGATATTCTTCACTCTTTTTTTTCTCCTAAAACCAGCAATCTCTCCAGCTGTTTACTTTTAAATAGCTACTGCAGATCGTTATCAAGGGTGTGGCTTGGTTTTCAAGTGAAAATGTGCCACAAAAGACTGCAGTTTAATGGGAACTCAATTCATTATAGAGTACCACTCAAAAGTAAGTTGCCAGTTGCATCTCGTTTACTGCGAGGCAAGAATCGCGTTGCAAGGTTTGAGAATCATTGAGGCAGCAACTATTGGCATAAATTATTGACAACACGTTTGGCAAGAAATTAAACCAACCAAAGTTTTCTTGAAGCGTTTCCTCAAAGACTGAGGAAAACAGGCGTTAGATTTTTGGTTAAGTTTCTTTCAAGAAGCTTTCTTTTAACTCATCACTCATTAGCCCACTGTTTTATTGGAGTTTCTGAGTTTTTGGATTTGTTAGCAATTGACATTTGACACTGCATTTGACCATGATGTTTTGTTTGCCAAAACGTGAAAACTGCTTCTTGTTTTCCTGATTATTTTTAACGAACAAACCAACGTGAAAAGAATCATGTATACTGTAAATCGCTAACAATGAGTTTCTCCACACAAAAAAAAATTGTCAGCTCTTGTGATGTGTGTAGTTGTCATTGACACGTAGTGGCACCTTATGCTGACGAGATATCAACAACATCAGTCTTAAAAATTCAACTTGGCGTACAATCACGAAATAATGTTAGCTTAATTTGTTCTTTATAGTTTTTTTAAAAAGTTTCTACTTGATTTACGAAAGAAAATTGCCTTGAATTTAACAATTTAAAGCAGCCAAATAAGACAAAAATGCATTCACTGAATAGCATTTTTTGCGTGACAGCCACTCACAGATTTGCACGGTGTCAAAACATGTGTAATTCAAAGCCTACTTCTCAAGTACTGTATATACATACTACACTTTATGAAAAGATTCGGTTTTTTGATAAACTTGCTGGCTTAAACTTTAAAAACAGCTCCATGAACTGATACAGTAGGTTATTTAATATACAATGTAGATTTCTTCCAGTAGGAGTTTGCTGGAACATTCGTTTGTCCAAAGGTACAGCTGTAGCCAAAAGCTATGACAGCACTTTTGGAAGCATTGCCGCTCGATCTACGATTCATTTCAGCTTGAAATGTTAAACAAAACCTGCAGACAGTTACAAGCGAAGCTACATTTTGTCTCATCTCAAAGTTTTTAGACAAAATGAAGTTTTCAAGGAGGTGCAGTGGTTTTAAAGAGACTTTATTAAAGGCATGTTTTTTACAAATACGTAAATACCAATCCTTCACAAAGCAAATTGTACACAACAGTCTACAGGTTGCTTAGGTAAAAATTTGTACGTGTGTTAGTCATGGTAAAGCTTTAAACCGTGATTCTTAAAACCACTCCAGAATTTTAGCCAACATACTTACAGTTTTCAGGGCCACCGTCCACTACGAGGATCGCGTAGCACGCTACAGGAACCGTGTAGCGCGCTACAGGAATCGTGTTGCTCGCAATGCAATTCACGTCTCGCGAGAGGGTGTTAACTTGGCTTTGAGCAGTACTGTAATTATTATAAGGTTGCTGGAAAACAATGCCCCACAAGTTCAGGATATTACCAAGGCTTTACTGAGCACCCACCCTGCAAACCTTCCTCCAAAAGAAAGAAAAAAGGTGTTAAGGTCATACCTTTCTGTTCCAACTACCATCTTGAATTTGCAAAATTTTCAGCAAGTCTTCAATATACCACTTTGTATTCACTTCCTTAGGCTTTCTTTTTATTATAGCAACTGCCTAAAAAAAAATAAACATTACAGTGTCACCCCAATAGACCTCTTTAGCTTGTATGTTTTGTTTTCCCAATACAGGTCATGTGATAATACTCTAGCGAACTGTCTCTTTCTAATTTTGTCTTATTTACGTGCATCTACACATAATTAATGAAAAGACAAAGGGTCAAGTTCCCCTCGGTCCTCTATTTGGAAAATAAAACATACACGCTAAAGAGGTCTACTTTACGATCGTCAATTCAATGATATTCCCAATTTAACAATCAATATTTTGTGTCCCAACAAAGTTTACAGTAAATTGTATGGAGCAGAACCCTGACCTAAAAATATTGGGTTCAACTATATTCCCAGTATAATGATAGAAATCTAGTGACCCAAGCATCAAATTTTTTCCGTTACAAAGATATAATATTAATGTCACATACAGTAAAATGTGGAATCTGACAATTGAACAATAAATTGTGTCCACGATTGGATCAAGCAGCATGTGTCTTACAATGCACCCACAAAGAAAAGAGATTACAAGAGCATATGAATTTAACCTCCACTACATTATAGTCATTGTTGCATTGTTCATTTCAGTCATTAGTTTTGTTGTTTACAGCTGTACTTGTGATTCAATTGCCCACATCAATAATATATTCTTTTTATGGATAGAACTTAGAAAAATTAATAATATAAAAAAATTATATTACCCATATCCAAATATTCATGCATCATTAATTTATGTTATGCTGCCAAATTGTTAAATCGGGAGTTCCTTTGCAACATTGTTCCTTTAACAATAATAAATTTGCTGTCCCCTTGACATATCGTAAAATTAGGGTTCCACTGTGCAGAGTAAAGAGGAATAAAGATTCAGCTGTTGGGACATACCGTATTTATTCGACTATAAGCCGATCTCGGCTATAAGCCGAGACCCCAAACTTTGAACGTGTAGACTCGGCATAACGAGAACCAAAAATAAATCGAAAACACCCGGCTATAAGCCGAGACCCATTCATTATTACAAGACTGAATTGTTAACCACGGAAAAACCTAACATTTTCGGAAAAAAATCACATTGATTGTCATAAATGAGGCTTAAACGATAACACACACGCGTGTATACAAGAGATGCAATGGTGATTTATTGTGCAAACAGCTTTCCTCTTAGAAAGCACACGCGAATTAACAAATATTAACCGTAACTAACTATTCAATTGAAAAACAATTAATCATAACCCAGATGAATTAATGTTATCGAAAAAATGAATTTAAAACTAACTGTGTTGTTAAGCGGCATCACCAGTACCAAGACATCCGTAGCGTCTATCAAACAATCTTGTGTTCGCAATCGTTTATTTCAAGTCAAGTTGTCATCATGCCCAAAGCTCATCGCACGTCATACAACCTCGCGCTTAAACTTACAACAGTCGCCGAAGCAGAAGCTGTTGAAAATAACTCTGAAATCGCCAGAGAATATGGCATCAGTGAGTCCATGGTCCGTCGCTGGAGGAAAGATCAAGCGAACCTTTTTAACGGCGAGATTAAATTGTCAGCGAAACGGAAGACGATGGAATGCTTCACGCCGAAGTATCCAGAGCTCGATCAAAGAATACTGGAATGGTTTACAGAGCAGAGAAGCCAAGGTAAGTTTTTTGTCGAGCATTGATTTTGTATCTTAAAACAACAGAAACAAGATCACGAAATAACTCAATCAGCTGATTGCAGAGTGAATATGAGTTGAATGTGTGACTCCCAAAACTATAGTAGTATCATGTGACAACGTTGTGTATGAAAGATTCTCATTGGCCAGTTTTCACAAATGTCAAAACAAATTCAAGACGTGTCAAAATTTTAACCTTTCGATCGTTTTGTAACCTTCTCACTTCGTTTTGCATAGGAGTAGCTGTTAGCGGATTGATGCTACGTCTAAAGGCAAAGGAATTCAGCGAGGATCCTGAGTTTAAAGCGTCCCTCGGCTGGTACCAGAAATGGAAGCGCCGCCATTCCATCAGCCTTCGCACCAAAACAACACTCGCTCAGCGTCTCCCTGAAGATTTGGAGCCACAAACAGTCAAATTCCATCGATTTGTAATCACATCCCGTCAGCGTCACGGTTATTCCCTATCAAGAATCTTTATCTTTTCTGTGAAAACACATTAAATTTAACAAACGGCTCCTTTAGGAGCCACCACATTCTTAAAAGTTAAGAACCAACGATTGCATATTGTGTTTCTTTACTTCAGCTCGGCTTATATGTAAATACATCTCGATTTAGTAGAGTTTCCATGCGCCGGAAAAATTTTTTGTTCAAAAACTTTCGGCTATAAGCCGAGACCCCCTCGAGAGCCTAAATTTTAATTCACTTCAGTTTTAATTTGCCTAAAAATCGCTCCGCTTATGGTCGAATAAATACGGTATTCCAGAGAAATATTCATCAACACCAACAAATTTCTTGAAAGTTACACAGAACATTCAAGACCCATCTATATCCCTTCTCCAGTAACACTTTCTGTTATTTACAGCAATTTTGATGTGGCTGATGTTTTGTTCTATAAATTAGGTGAGGTGGTAGAACAAATTTACATGTAAACTAAAACTATTTTTTTAAGTAATCATACGCTCAGTTGAATTCAGGGTTTGCAAATTTTATTGATAAGTGGAGTCACTGTGACTTCTGCTTCACAAATTTTGGAGTCATTTTGGAATATTTGGAGTCAAGTATCACAACGAAAAAAGCCATTTTCAGACTTTCCAGCACGTGGTCCTGGCATGTATACACTATCATGAGGGATAGTAGCTTTGGCGGTCCGCTGACCTGGAAAGCTTAAATCCATGATGGCGGTCATCGAGTAAACTTTGATCATAATTTACCCTGTTTTGTCGTGCAGTATAATTCTTTAATTTTGATGATTTAATTAAGGTTTACAACGTTTACAATTAACGAAATTTGTATTTGTTGCGAAAAAAGGTCAGGACAAAACTGTGTTTGTTACCGAAAATTTCTGGAGTCAAAGTGGCTCCCTGTTTGTTACCGAAAATTTCTGGAGTCGAAGTGACTCCCTCCGTAACCTCTGTGGAGTCATCTGAACAATTTTGGCGTAAAATACGCCAAATTTGGCGTATTTGCGAACCCTGTGAATTATTACCAATGTTGTTGATACAGTATCTCATTGACAAAGTTGCAGATACTCCTTTTCAAATTCTAAACACATTTTGTCCCATTAACATCTGGTGCGCCCTCATGCACCCAGAAGTAAAACCGCCCTGAAAATCCAGTGCAACCAAATGTGCACTTCCATAAATGGTTCACTTTAATTAGCTGCAGCTTAGAAACTAAATTCCCCTGAGTACTGAAACATGCAGAAATGTGACATGTATAAATTGAGTTTTTATTTGAGACCAAGGTCAGCGTTCTGATTTCACGGTTTGATATTTGGCGAATTTTAGAAGAATCATCTTAGTTTTTACCATGCTTTTCATTCTTCTGATGAAGAAGAACAAATCCTTTTTCAGCTTTTCTGTGGAAAAATTCACTCAAATTCAGCAAAGATGGAAGAGATGGCAGAAGAAAGAATTACTAGAAGATGCAAACCAAGAAATTGAGGAATTCTTTGACTTATACAGCATGTGAGCATGCAAAAGGAGAACAAACTCCGATGTTGAACTTTTCGATATTGAACGCAAAGAAAGCGGTAAAACATCACCTAAACCATCAGTTCCATTTTAATGGTCAAACAAAATCGACATTGAAAAGTCCTGTCTTTTGTCATGGTGCAACTTAAGATCATGGTGACCATGATAACAAAAGATTGTTTGAACCTTTCCATCATGTGGCCTCCCTAGCAGTGATCCATGACCGTTCTGTCATTGTCTCAAGGATATGAGCACAAAAGGACTTAATCACTGATCTTGTGAGATAAAGCTCTCACGAGATCAAAGTTCAAAGGTGAGCGCATCGATATTTCTGGGTGCTGTTTCATAAAATTTCTCCGATTTCTTTTCTAGCTTTGGAGTTAAAGACAATGCATTGCTTCTCATGACCATTGATTTTGGTGGAAATGTTGGTTAATGGTCCCGAGAGACCTGCAGAGAAACATCGCTTGCGGGAGTTTTCCAGGAGTTGAAATTGCTGATGATTCTCTTTTCCAACTCAAGGCAGAAAATATCTTGTGGACATTTCACACGGCTTTCAGGCTCCAAAATTTATGTGTTACAGGCAGTCAAATTAAAACAAAGCCAAAACAGATACATGTACCACATAAGAATACATACAAGCAAAGTCGATCTGCTCAGTCAACACCACCAATGTTAGTTGTGTAAACATCAGAAACACGAGGGTTCACGATTTCAACTTCTCTTCCCCAGACTTTACACTACACGGTGAAACATTAGTCGCAAGAAAAGCAACGTCCCGTTTATCATGCTACTTTTTGAGCCTGAATAAGTTCCCCAGGTCCAGTTAGCTTGTTTAAAACACAAGTAGGCAAGCCTTTCCGGTTGCATCAACCATCCAGTGTCCAAGGTATGCCTATTTATGGGAGGTTTGATTATCATAGTACAGTAAATTATTTGGAAACCAAAAAAAGACTTACCAAGGCAATCTTTACATACTGATGCAAATACACATCCTCCATGAAGTTGTTAAATATGCTCTAAATGTGAAAAAAAATTCAACAGCATGTTACACTAGTTACGCTATGCCCATAATAAGTGCTTTGTTGCCCACCACCTGACCAAGTTTTGGTAAAAAAAGAAAAAAGATCATACCCTTCTGTAACACTCCATTTACAATATACTTCATGGCAATCAAAATAGCGACAATAATCATTTCAAGCTCCCAGACCAGGGTTGTCACTAAGATTTCAAGTTGCCGGGTAAATACAACAAGTAGGCGGTGAATCAAACGGCTAGGGACTTCTTTTGGTTCTATTTTTCTTCTATTTTCCAATAAAAGTAGCCGGGGGCCACTCTCTTAGTAGCCGGGGAAAATCCCCGGCCCCCGGCTCTTAATGACAACCCTGCCAGACCAAAAAAAAGTAATACTGATGGAATTTTTTTTGTGCATGCCAAACAACCCCATTTTCACATTTCATCTCTGCAAATGTTGCTTGCATGCCCGCTCCACGGGCCACCTTTGTCCAGGACCTGAACAATCGATGAAATCAATAATCGATGGCAATCAATAACAACTGATATTGATAATCGATGGACAATCCATCACAAAAATTTAAGTGATTATTGATTATCACTGATTATCAATATCAATCGATAATCGATGGGAATCAATCAATTAACATTATAATTCTACACAGAAGATCGAGGTGGACTTGAGCGTCTGCACAGACATATAAAGAAAGAAGAAGAAAAAGAAATAATAAGCTTAATCGTGTTTGCACGACAACTTCGTCCCAGGTCAGTTGAATCTTTGCAATGAACTCGAAGCTAAATCGATCAAGTTTATACGACTGACAAGGAGATATGTTGATTGTCTTAATTATTTGTGCTGTTTTTCACGGAGCAACATCGATGAACAATTCTCAAACTTTGCTACTGAGGTTTAAAAATAATATACGATCCGCGTACACTCCCGCGATACCTGAAAATACAGAGACATGAATTTAGTGCCAATCGATGGCAATCGATGAAGTTCGAGACCACCTAAGTGTGATTATCGATTGATCATTGATTGGCCGATGCCAATCGATTGATCGATTGATTTTCCGATCATCGATTTTCATTGATTGTTCAGGTCCTCCTTCGTCCCGTACTGCTGCACAACTCTGCCAGGAAAAACAATTTTGGAATATCAACCTAGGTCACCTAGCCGTATGTTGTCTCCCAACTAAGTTTGCACATCAGTCGAAACCTAGAAAAGCATTCACAGTTACGCAGTCGCCATTGCTGTAGGGATAGAGCTCAGGTTTTACCTTACCTGTAGATAAAAAGTAAGATTTGCCTATATAGCTGCATAAATAAATTTATCGAAGGCCCCGCACGCCACCACGTTTCGAGACCCTTATTCGAGTTCGGACTAGCCCTAAGCCTCTAAACGCCAAAACAAGCTAAAAAGCATGAAAACTCCTTGAATACTGACGATAATCTACTAGGATATTATCGCCATTCATAATTGCATTAAAAAAATCGTTGGTTTCTTGTGGAAGCATTTCGAATTGCGAAGGAGGAGCTATGAATAGCTAAATAACAAACCACGTTTTGGTCAACTCTTGCCTTGGCGTTCATTTTAAACCCAAAACCGTTGCACGAAAATGTAGTAGCATTCACTCTTGTTCATATGAACCGTATTTTGGGGCTTACCATGGTAGATATTTGCAGTATTTTGCTGTGAAACCTCGTCAAGAACTGCACAGAAGTTTCCCGCCGCACTCTGTCACTGTTGTGTGAAATGAAGTAAAACGGCCCCGTCCAATCATCATGCTTTGCGAGTGAGCTGTGTAGCTTGCAAAGTCTCGTGGGAGTTGAAATTTTGGCGGCAAGAATTTTCGAACAAGAAGCGCGCCAGTAAGAAGGTGAGTTTTGAAAATTTGTTCTTTTGACCAGTCTCTTGCGGCAAATAACCAACGTTTATGTTTAATCGTCGCCCAATGTGAGAAGAAACAAGCAAATGAAACCGTCTTTGAAAGTGACGGTGGATTAATCTAAATTATGTCGAAGTCACCTTGTTGTTTTGAAATATCTTGTAGAATACGTCCCGGTCACACTTTTTGTGTCGAAAATCAATTGAATAGTGGAACTCGAGCTTTTATTCTAGAAAGGTTTTTGGGGAGCAGGAAACTGTGAATGTGTCAAATGTTCAGAGTAATACCATGGCGCTGGTTTGGTTTTCTCAACAGAAATCATCGTTCAACAATTATCCTTTCAACAACAAATTTTCAGTCAGCAATGATCGGCCTGAAGTCGACAGTGCAGAGTGCATCTTTGCCGGCACAACTGGTGATCGTAGAAGGAAACATAGGTGTTGGAAAATCCACTCTAGCTTGCCAGCTGGCCAGAAAGTTGAACTATCGTGTTTTCCTGGAACCCACGACTAAAAATCCTTACCTAGCTAAGTTTTATCAAGATCCGAAAAAGTACGCTCTGAAACTACAATTGTGGATCTTCAAGCAGAGATTCAGAACATATATTGAAGCAACTAAACACGTTTTAAATTCTGGTAAGTGAAATTAAGCAAGAAAATAGTCAAATTAGTGCTATTTGAGCTTCATTTTCGCTCTTTTGCTAAAATCGAAGCTTGGCCGTGGTATGCTTCTCCAAAGCGACTCCCTACCTGCCCGGGGGTGGGTACTGTCATAAATGGGCTATATATGAGGTATGTGCTGCTGTGAAGGGTAAGGTTTTCAAGCAGTTTACTCTGGAATAGGGCATATAAATCAGAAAGTGTGGGTCTAGATTAAGAATAGGGTATCATTATTTTTCCAGGAAACTGATTGGTTGAGGATTTTAGTCTAGGCTAGGGAAGCCAGGAATTGCCACTCAAAAATATAAAAAATCAAATCATCAAGTTTAAATTTACCCAACTCAGCCTAAAAGCTACTCTAGGATTTGGGTGAGGTGGAGGGTTGGGGGATTTTAGTGTAGTATAGGGGATCAAAATTCAGCTGAACTAGCTCTGGTATAGATTAAGGATTCCAGGGTTCCAGTGGCACATCCCCACCCAAACATTCCTAAAGTACCCCTCTCCCCTGACCCACATAGAAGGATATACAGGTAAACCTCATTATGCACTAAACTGCAGTACAAGGGATACCTAGTGCAAAGGGGAGAGGTATTGACCCAATTTTGGACATAGGGCTGCTTTTGAGACTTTTGTGAAGGACAAAACCTTCCTAAGTAGCAATGTGCATCATTTTGTAGGTCCGCATTTTTGTACAGACTGTACATGGTGTATGTGTACAAATTAAAGCCAACTCAATGATACACTTTGATTGGATGAACAAGACTTCAAATAACAGTCATCAGACAATCACCAACCAAAACAATTGGCCATATCCAATCTAAGTCTCACTCAGTCATAGTTAGACACTCCACAACAGTCTCATTTCCATGTCCTATTTTCTATTCTTTTCTCACTAGCTGACCTTATGTCCCAGACACAACATTGCATGATGTTACATGTTGTTGAAAGTTTTTGCACAAAGTTTGAAACTGGTCTAACTTTTAGCTACAGTATGTGCAAACAGACACAACAAATGTTAGGAGTTGTTGGCCAACAATGTTGTGTCCATTTGCACGGGGCTTTACAGCTGTACTTTTAACATGTTTTTGTTGAAGCTAGGGTCAAAACTGTTGATGTTTGGACTGAAATTTTATAATTTATCACATATTCCTTTAAGGTCAAGGAGCTCTCTTAGACAGATCAGTTTTCAGTGATTCAGTTTTTGCTGAAGTTAACTACCAGCAAGGAACTATCTCTGATGAAGGTACAGATTTTTTATTGTTTTTTTCTTTCTTTGTTGTTGGTTTTTTTTTTTGTTTAATGAACGAGCATACTTGGTATACAAAAAATGATGTTTTTAGCGCAGCTCTCATGCATGCAGTGGAGCACCATGGGTAATAAAATTTGGTTATCTATGCATCCATAATTATCATTACTTTGCTTATGGTAAAAAAAGTTAAATAACTTGAAAAATACATTTCTTACAAGGTAAAAGATCCCATGAGAGCTTTGCCTTTGGCCTTGACTAAATCTATTATTATATTAGTTTACCTAGAGGTTGCCATCTCATAACTGTTTTTGGCATTGCTTCTGTAGCTCCGAAAGGTGAAAATTAAAGCACCATTTTTGGCCTTATATTGAGTAAAGTTTGTGTAAGAAAAACAGCACAAATTATTTTGAGTGAATGCATGTGGGAAGTTTAGCAGAAAGCAATACTTCTTGTCCTTTGACTATAGTACATGTAGACAGGGAAGGGTCAAATTGTTTACTTGAGAAAAGGCATTGTAATATTTATTTGAGTGGAAATTCATCAAACGTTTCCTTGAATTTAAGGTTTTCCATAACTTAGATGTGAATTATTTTTAAAGACTGGCTTGTTGTAAATTTATCATAGTTTTATTTATTTTTTTTATTCAACACCCTTTAGAAACAGGGTGCAAAGAAAGTCATTTTTTCAGCTTGCCATTCGGGCAAGCTGAAGCTAACATTTACTAGCCCAAACATCATTTCAACTAGCCCCAAAAACGTTTTGATGAGTAGATGGATTTCACAGTTCTTCTGTAATTTGAATTCCTCAAAACTCTTCACTTGCCCATCGGACAAGTTAATAACAGAATTCACTAGCCCGACAGCAAAATCCACGAGCCCCGGGCTATCAGACAGTACTTTCTTTGCACCCTGAGAAGCTACAATACCAAACTCTCTTGTTACACAATAAATTTAAGAACATATGTTTTTTCCATTGACTTTCATGGAATGTATCTTGAATTATTTTAGGTTACCAGTATTACAGAGACCTACGGAAACAAGCTTTGAAGGATGTTTTGGTACCACACACTACGTTGTATCTTGATGTTTCACCAGAGACTTGCAGTCAGCGTATTCTTGGACGAGGAAGGGTATGAGTTATTTCATTTCTGAATTCAGTAGCCTTTGAAATTACAAAGTAATGGCCCTACATTTTGTGCCCAGATCAGTTGAACATTAATTTATCCAAGACATACAATGTAGGTGTGTCGTCTTCAGGTTAGCGCAGTAAGAATCACTGAGGGAAAAGTCTGGGGAAAACAAAGTTGTTGTCAACGTAGGTAGTGAAAAATCAAAGAATGATTTCCTGCTTAAAAAAGACATTAATTTAGTTCCAAAAAGTCTTCTGTGTTTAATCAATAATAATGTTGTCATGCTTTAAATCCTGTAAAAGTCTATGTGTACTCTCAATGAGGTTTATGTAAAAAGTTTGAAACTATCAAAAAATAATGAAAAGAAAAGTAAGATGCCATTTTGGAGAAAGTTGTCTAGACGTTGGTGAAAATTTAACGGTGACACCCCTTTACAAAATCACTAGCTTGTGTGTTTTATTTTTTTGTACTTATTTTTATTTTTCTTGTCCTCTTAGAAAGTACCTGAAACTTATACTTTTTCCTTCAGGAATATGAAAGTGCAATTCCACTGGATTATCTCAAGGGGCTTGATTCATGTTACAAAACATTTTTAGATGAAATGAGGTAAGGCCTAAAGAGAACTACATGCTTGTATTTGATTAGTAATTCATTTGTTTATTTTGGAGGATGCTTCAAAATTATTAACTCCTCTCATTGTAGGTTTTGTTATTCCCCAATCGTCAGCATTGCATAATGCATGTTCAGCATGTGATTCATACGTGTAGTTACTATATAGTGCACTTAAAGGGCGTATTGTACTTTATTTTCTACTTGATTTTGTTCAACGTGTTCTGTGGTTAGTTCATACAATTTTCTTTTACATGTACCCATCCCTCCCACCCATATGGGTTTTTGATCGGTTTTTACGCACTGTTGTGAAATAAAACTCTCTTCATGCCAAACAAATGGTGTGTTATTAGTTGTCTGTTAGTATAGATATCTCTGGGCATTTTATTATTTTTTGACCAGATGGTAACTAGGAGAACAATTTACTTGCTTCAAATGAAGTCTCTCACCATAATCTCGGACTCCAGGGGGGATAGGGGAATGAGTTAATTTGCTAACAATGCTATTAATTTTACGAACCTGACCATCGTCAAATTAAATTAAATATTTCTTGCTTTTGCTTGGATCCCTTTCTAAAAGTTGCTACCTTTTCAGGCCCAAATCCAAAATCTACAGTACAGAGTCAAAGTTTTGTGCTACATGTACATATAGTTGCTATCAAATTAGTCCATTGAGTTTTCTTAACTGATTGTACATGTATCATTAAATTAGTTATCTTTTAAACTGTCAAAAACTTTGATCTTGAAAGTAAACAAAGCAAACATAAAACAGTTTTCTGGGCCCAGTAATTTCCAGGAGTTTAAAGAAGCAGGTCCTAAAGCTATAACCATACATGTATGAAATCCAAGATGCCCCTCATCCATGTTGTGTGCAGAAACTAATATGTTGTCTATCAAGGGCAACTGGGCACTTTAACAGTGCAGCTCTGTATGTTCTCAATCAGTTACCCCTCTTCCTTAAGAAATAAATTAATTCTCTGTAGTTTTAGACATATTTATTAAATTTATTTGTTACAACAATTGTATTTATTGAGGAATATTTATTCTGGCAGACAAATTGGTTCAATTGTGTTGGTTTACAACTGGACGGACTTTGGATATAAGTATGAGGTCAGAGTGTTTAAAAACAGATGAAATCACAGTTTAATTACATTACACATGTACAAATATGCTAATAATTATGATTTAATTTGTATGTGATCCTTGTAGGTGGCAGAAGACATTAAGAAGGAGGTTGTACCTGTGTGGAGTCAGGAAAATGTGCAGAAATTTCATAGACTGTAAGTTTCATGTTTTGAAAGTTTTCACTCACCTGGTATGTACAAGTGGCAATAGTTAAAAAAATTCCTGATGTTACGTTTAGGTAACATCATATCATTGACCATAAATGAAATATGGTACTTATTATTTTTGTTACTTGCAGAATATCAGACACTTCAGGGCTGAGAAATGTGTTGACATTAAATAGAACCATTCCAGAAGCAGTGATCAGTGAAGATGAAGAGGTTTGTTTTAATCATTAATTTTCCTATAGCACCAGGAGGGGTGAAATCTCAGATTACATGTACATATTTTACTTTTACCAGCAAAATGGAATATTGAAGCCAAACTGAAGTAGTTTAGAAAAATATATTGGCTTCAAAAGCAAAGGACACAGGCAACCCATGCAGTTTCCATTGCTGGGAAGCCTGTTATTCATGTACGTGTACTGCCTTTTTTATGGCCTTCAGTATTTTGCGAGGGATAAAAGCATTGTTGATTGGCAAAGGTAAGAAAGGTTTCATAGGTTAGAAAGGTGAAAGATAATGAGAAGTGGGTAAGGAAACAAAGTTAAAGATTGACAGTAATGGTATGTGATGTTCAGTACCAGTGTGTTACAATAATCAACTTTTTTTCCAGGAACAACTAGAGATCCTGAGTGATAAGAAAGCAAATGACACTCAAAGTAACAAGAAACTCGGAGATATTTCATCAAATCACTTGGTGTCATCCGTAGAAGCATAGTAATGATTATTTTACCAGTAGCTACAAGCAATGTACATACAATGCATGGCATTTTTCAAAACAAAACAATAATAATTCACTTAATTATACAAGTATTCTTATCAAAATGAATGTATTAAGGTTTAAGAAACAAGATGTTTTGGACACAAAATATTTCAGTCATTTTCTGCAACTTCTTAATACATACTTAACAAAAAATTGACCACTTATCTAGATATTAAATCTTATTTTAAAATGTTGGTTTTTATCTTGACCAGTAGTTCATTCCCATAATCGTCCTAAAAATCCCAGCCCCCAGTTGTGAAAATGCTAGATAGTGCTATCCACAGGATAAATCACCATCCAGCAGATAAGTATGAGAGAAACCAATTGTGTTATTCTGTGGTTAGTGACTTATCCAATGGATAGCGTTATCCAGCTTTTGAACCGCTGAGGCCAGAAGCTTAAAATCAACACCAATAATGCAAGGAGTTCCAACATAATCTTTGGTTGTAATGATTTCTAAGGAAAAATTTCACCAAGCTTGTTTTCTCTCTTGGGGTTTGCTTTGACCAATCATAGTTTTTTTTACAACTTTCTCAATGTACATGCAAGCATTTCTCATGCATCCACACCACATGCTTTTTAACGCAACAGGAGATACTACCTTTTTACACGAATTCCAAGCCTGCTAGACAAAAGTTATCAACCAGTAATGTTTTCTTCGCTATCGATCAAAAAGCATAGACTGCGAGAAGGCTCTCCATTTGGGGGATATCGTGAAAAGTACATGCACAACGAGAGATGTGAGGCAGGGGAGAGAAACCTTTCCTGGGCACCTCGGAGCCTCGCTCGCCCAAATAGGAGAGCCTGCTGGCAGCCTACAAAAAGCATGAGACAGGCTGACCAAGCAAAGTTGTTCCCAATAGATCACATGCTTATTTGTCATTCTCGTGATCATTAAAATAACACAATGTTACTTTATTTGAAGAAATGGTTTGGTATTTAAAAGATTTCATTTATTTCATATAAATGTCAGCTTTATAGCACTTTTTATTCACATCAACTTTACCGCATGGTGCTTTTGTGTACAACATGCTTTCCTCTCAGAGCAAATTTTGATCAAATTTGTTTTACGTAATTTTACTGTTGTTCTTGTAGCAAGTTTATCACATTATTAGATGCTCCAATTTGAATTACATAAAATAAACAAAGGAATTTTGAACAAGGTATTCTGTGTACTTTTTTGCAAGCAAAACTTTTTTATTCTGCCGGCACAGCTTTTCTCTAGCTTGCTTCATTTTGGCAAACTTCTAGAAAGACTGCTTGAATCAATTAAGATCTTTGTTGAGCAAGCATTGCAAGTAGCCTGCAAGCTCTCCAGGCGCTCTGGCAGCGGTGCGGGAAAAGGAAGAAGAGCTTTTGACTACATCTCTGGAATTTGAGCATCTGCATCAAAAAAGTTGATGTGAAATGCTGATTGGCGGAGATGACATTAGTAATGACATCATTACCCTTGGCATGTGTTTTTCAATGTTTGTTTACATTTATGCTCGTTTCTGCTTCATGCTGATTGGCAGAAATTTAACAGTTCAGTCAACAGGGAGCCACAGGGGAATTGGAGGTGGAATTCAAATTCCAGAGGGACATAGTTGGAAGCTCTCCTTCCTTTTCCCACCCGGAGAGCTTGCTTGCAGACTAGTTGCAAGTAGCTTGAATACAGTTTTGTACCCAAACCTAACAGCCATGCACTTGGTACAGCAGGCTAATTCATCACCAGGATGATGAGAGAAACAAGATTGACTGCTCCAGCAGTTCGTGACTGCAACTATAAGGCAGAGCCTCTTCTTTTTCCTTCTCACTTAAAAAGAAAGAAGGAGGTTCTGCTCGCAGGGTGACAAGTATACACCTGATAGAAAAAACATTGTCCCTTCAAAAGTATAAACCATGAACAATGGGACCTAATGGATTTATGGCTAGAACTTTATTAACCCTTTAAGTCCCGATAGTGACCAAGATCAATTTTCTCCCAACAATATCCATGTTACCAAGAGAAATGGTTATGAGAGTTAATAAAATGATCACCTAAGAGAAAATGCTTTGATCTTCTACCAAATTCTCTCAACTCATTCTTTAAGGAAATGTATAAAGACCAGTTTGGAGAATTTGTATGTGGATATTGGGGCTTAAAGGGTTAACATTGCAAATTTAAAGTTTTTTGTGACTTGATGTATTCCAAAAAAGGTCAAACAGTCTCCAGTCTTCACAATACGCTCACAACTTCACCTGTGCAGGGCACATCACATACCTCTGCAGTTAAAGAACATAGCCATATCGCTAATGCACACTTGAAAATCATAAGATAGTACCTAAATAAAAGCTTTCTTAAAAGACATAACAAGACAATGGCATGCCTTAAGCACTCTAGTGATTTGCATCCGCACCAACAGCTTGTGACAATGTAATCTTTTGTTGAAAGAAGTCTGCATTTGATTTGCTCATAAATTTATACCCATGGCATAAATCCCTGAAGCCTTGTCATTCATGGTTTATATTTTTAAGTGACAACATTTTTTCAATCAGGTATACATGTATATATTTAGAGGGGCTACATCACGCTATTTGCTAGTTTTTTTAAAAACTAACACTTTTTTTGCCTGAATTGAATTCCAAAAATAAAGGACCAGTTTTCTATTTTAAGACTATATATGGGCATTGCAACTATTGCCTGTCATCTGTTGCAATGGATGGATGTACATGGATAGAAACTTCAAAAAGTTGGAAGTTATGGTTAGTGATTCCTGATCAAATTTGTTTAATATCTTCTTCACAACTCTACAGGAGAAGTGTTTGTATTAGTAAAGGCACTACAGTGTAAGTACTTAATGACTTAAACACAGACTTGACCTAAAACAGCAGTGTCCTTATGACGTTAAGTAGCCCCTTTAATGTACCTGGGTTAACTCTCATATTGAACTCTGAACAACATTCATGCTTCCAACAACTCTTGTGCCATCAAGATGATCATTCACAATAATTATTTATTATGCTGCTCAACAGTATTTCTCTGGATAACTCATAATGTAGCAGGAAGTGCCCAAGAAAACACTTAATGAAACTATTTTTGATATTTGAGAATTCTTTTGAATTGTATTAGTCACTTCCTGTGCAAGAACGTGTCATTAAATAAGTTTAAATTATTGTTTTCCTTCATCCATTAATTGCACATTCCTAACCTAATCTGACAAAATTCAAGATAATCAGTCTAGTACTACTTGAAATCTTCTGCGCTGAACAAACCCTAAAAAGTGAGAAAAAAAAACATTTAACAAGACAGAAGAAAAACCTATGGCCTAATATTAAAACAGTTTACTACACATACATGTACATAAACAAGTTTTACAATTGTGTTTTAAACTCAAATATAGCAGGAATTACATGTAATGAGAACACAAAAGACTCTTCTGCCACTGTTGATTAGCAAGGAGTAAGAGCGTTGCATGACGACACTAAAAACGGCTGTGTAGCAGACTATAAATAGCACTCTTCATACATGAAATGAAAAAAAAAACAGTACCTTTGCCCTCCTAAGAATGGAATCCTTGGAAGGATCATAAGGGTGTTCCTTGGATGGAATCTCTAAAATGGCTGGAATGGCTTTGTCATAACTATCAAGGATATGTCGAATCTCCTCAGCGATCTAAAAAAACACAAATTCATGTTATCATCAACCTGATCAAAATTGGTATTTTAGACCATGAAGAACAAAATAAAACAACAGCATCATTTCAGTACAACCTGAAAACATGTAATTTTTAAAAAGTAACAGTTAGCTTTAAAAAGGTATGCTTTTCATAACAGTGTAAAGGGTTAGAAATCAAAATTACAGTTCGAAGGCAGGTATCTATGAAAGCCATGTTAAGGGTGAGAAATATTTTTATACATCGCCTTTAACCCATCTGCCCTAGAAATTTGAACAAAAACGACCTTTGAAGCTAGTTACCAAGAAATTATCTAGTCATTATCTGGCCAAAAACGACCAAAACAGCCCGACAATATGGTTATAAGTCTAGCATTACACTGGCTTTTGTTTGTCATGCTAAATATTATTTTTCACAGTTTCAGGCATGTGCAGAAAGCCCAGGGGGGCACTTGGGTATTCTTTGGGTGGGTATGTGCTGCCCGGGACTCCAAATTGCCACCCCGTTCTAAAAAAACATTCCCCTAAAATTGATACCCTGTTCTAGAAATGGGCCAATTTTTTATACCCCGTTCTAGAAATGGGCCAGTTTTTTATACTCCGTTCAGGGTGCAACAAGAGTACAACAGTTTGCTTGTTAACACGCATTGAACCATATTTTTAAAAGCAATCTGTCCTTGAATAATTTCAAATGGCTGCTTACAAAACTGGAGCTTTCTTGCGTTTGAAATATTATACCCCGTTCTAGACCTCAAAATCACGACCCTGCTGGGCGGCACATACCCGTATAGGTAATGTATGGGAGTACCCCCCGAGGCAGAAAGCAAATTTCAAGACAGGTTTGGGTTTAAAATGACACAGGCCTCTCGACTTTCATCTTTTGCTGCATCTCCTTTATGCTCCTTTTGCTTTTCTTGCCCCTTTTTTCTTTTGCTGGGCATTTACTAAGCTTCATTTCCATGGGAGAAGTTTTTGGGAAAGTATCAAATTCTCAATCTCAGAAAACTGTGAACACCTGAAATATTTTTAGCAATATGTTGTGACCAGTAATGCACTGTCCTGCACCTTCCCTCCCCTCCCATCCCAAATTTCCCAGACAGCTTCATATGATTTCCCAAGGGAAAGTGATGCACAGCTACTCGGACAATAGAAATTTAGATGTAATGACACATAGTATGGTTATACAATTTACTAAAAAGCTGTGTTACATCGTGTACAGGGTTTGTACAGGGTCTTGAATTCTTGAAAAAAAAGTCTTGAAATTAGCCCAGCAATTTTCCAGACCTAGAAAAAGTCTAGAAAATGGATACAAAGTCTACAAAAATGGTAAAAGTCTTTTTCTTATTTTTTTTTCAAAGCTACAACAAGTGTTATTTTACAACAAGTGCTTTATGAGAGCCATTTTTTCTGTTTTGATCAAATCCTACTCAATCTTGCCCGCACAAGTACATTTGCAGCCCATCATGAAAAAAGCTTTGTTCCTGCATTTTTTAAGGTCTCTGTTGATCACCTATTTGATAACCTTGAGTCTGGGAAAAGAAATAATAAATTGTTTGGAAAAAAAGTCTGGAAAAAGCCTTAAATTCTGGATCCAAAAATCTGTACAAATCCTGTGTGCACCCTTACATTTTGATTGATTAGCAGAATGGCAATGTCACTTCTATTTGTAAACTGTAAGAAAGCTTCTTCAATTTCACTGACAGAGGTTTCTGCAAAATAGATGAAATGCATCAATGTTATTTTATTTCATCAATCTTAATCAGGAATAAGATTTATGACACCAAACTGTGATGCCAGAGATCAAGAAACTCTTAAAATCACCTCTCATATTAACATTGATTTACATTATTAAATACATGTTACTGTATTTCATTCAAAGAAAGTCAAACTTCCAATATTTCTTGCTCTACACAGCAAAAAGAAGATTAAAGAGAAAAAAGAAACAGTAGAAAAAATGCCTATTTAAGGTCAGTTTTTTCAGTGATGGAAGAGTCAAGTTTGCAATATAAGTTGGAAGAACCCCTTACTAACCACTGTTAAGCCAGGGTTGTCAGAAAGTTTTGAAGTAGACAGCTGAGTTGTCAAAGTAAGCAACCAGTCCAGGTATATTTTATTTAAAAAACGCCATCCATAAAGAAACGCCAAGTCCAGTAGCCACCTACTTTTGACAACACTGCTAAGCTGAGCACGTACATGTAGGCCATACTGCCATTACTGGGTAATATTGGCCCAAGGTTGTTAAGAACTGAGCAAAGCAAGGCCCGTACATGAACAATGGAGGACTAACATTACCCAGTACAATCCCAAGCAAGTGAGGTTAGTGAGGCCTTTTAAAGGGACTGGTTCACGATAATGCACATGCGTGCCGTTTGTCTCTTCAGAATAAATTTGTCGGGTCAACACTAAATTCGAAATCGCCATTACCGGTACAATCATTGAGAATCCTTCGTTTTATTCGGACATCCGTCGCTTTGGCTGGTCTAGTTATACTTCGGTAGTGGTGATTAACGTGTGGTGGTGTCGTTTGACTGGTTACGTTTTAAGAAGACACAAAAAATAATGTTTTGATCATGGAGGTTCAGAAGAGCATC